AAAAAAACAAAAACAAAAACAAACAAAAAAACAAAAACAAAACCATCTCAATACCTGGGTATTGTCAGCGGAATTATCTGAAAACTCGGTGTCTTCTTCTTTCATCTTTAGTTTACAAGAACTTCGTGTGGTGAGTAAATACAACGACCAGTCTTCCTAAAATACGAGCATCGAGAAACAATTAGACATACGATGTAATATAGAGTGCATACCATTAAGTTTAAGTTTAAGTTTAAGTTCTAGAGTACAAACACTATTACACTATTTGGTAGTAAATAGTGCTAATTAAACAATAAAACAATAGGATTAGCATAATTTAGCAGTATTTAGTGGTATTTATGTTACACACTTATAGTATTTGTACTCTACTGAACTTACTAATTTGCGCAAATTTGTTCATTTTGTTACTTCTTTTTCACGGATATATTATTTAATTTTCACGGATATTTGGTATGCACTCTATTCAAAAGACTGAAGAAAATATGTTTTACTTTTATCGCAAGTCGTAACGTTACGATGTTATTGAAAAACATTTTTGATTTTAGGTCTCTTCCAAAACATTCCGAGACGAGTAAAGTAATACGATGTAGATCGTGGGAGTTTTTTTTTTGTTGCAAAGACTTGAAAGAATTTCAAATAAGATACTTACCTCAAGGAGAAGATCATCTTGGAGTTGTTCAGCGGTTTGTAGAACGATTTTATCCACACTTGAATCAGCATTCCACTTACTCCAGCTGTAGGCAAAGGCTGATGCAGTGAGGGATATTTCCTGATAAACTTCGTTCTCCAGTTTCTCATCCTAGTAAAATAATAAAGACACATGTTAAATATTAAGTCATATTAAAAATTATTGCAGCTTATTGCCAACAGGTGGGCAGGCAGGCAGAAAGTAAAGAAATATAAGCTGCTATGTCTGTGGAATGCCATAACGAACACAATTTTCTTACCTTCTTATTAACGCTTACATACTTCTCTGCATCTACAGCAGGGAAAACATTGACCCCGGCAGTCTGCATGGCCTACGAACACAATAAAATATGCTTACCCCACTGATAATTTTTAACTGCTTTATAAGAAACAATAAACGTTTTTGATACGGCGGCCATCTTGAATTCTATTGTTTTGATTCAGATACTATGGGTTGCCGAGGGGCAACTATTGGAAACATTATAGACTGTACAGCTGTCTGGGTATATTTTTGTATAACTTTACACTTTACATCGAAAAAGCAATTGAATTTTTTGGTAGTTGGATCAATATTTGCCAAGACTTCCGTCAGCTACACGGCTGCCATGGTGCCTTAATACGCAGCCCGTAAAGTCCTCGACTGGTAATGAATGTGAAGCGCATTCAGATATGTGAAATGCGCTATATAAGAACCCATTATTAATTAATTAATTAATAATTAATTAATTAAATTATTCGAAAAGGTAACCACGCCACTCCATATTTTATAAATTTGCTACGTTTGCTCCCTCGGCATCCCGTCATTCAAGATGGCCGCCGTGTCAGTAAAAAGGTCTATTTAAAAGTATATTACTACTCAATTATAAGCTCACAAAACAACTATTAGCCATTTCGAGATTTAGGAAAAAACAGGGCCGAGTTGACATCGCAGTGCATTGTGGGATTGTTTAGGAGACATATTTTCAAGATAGACCCACAATGCATCGTAATGCCAACTCGACCCATTTTTTCCGCTCAACAACAAACATGGCCAAGTTTAGTATAGAAACCTAATACCTTGATGAAGTCTTGTGGTTTCATCCATTTCCCAATGAGATGGGAAACCTCTTGCAAGTCGTCTGGCTGTGAGAGACAACAAACATCATCCTGAAGAAGAAGRAAATGGATTAAATTTGATTGCAAGGATAAGATAAGATAGCTTTAAAAAAAATAAATAGACAARAAGAAGAAGAAGAAAAAACAACTAAAAAATTGAAAGAAACGAAGATTTAACCAAGAGGATAAGGTGCTTACCTTTATTTCTATCTCCAGTTCAATAATGGCAGCAATCAGTGTGAATAAACAACTGTTGGTCTTGTGAGGACGGATTTCCCATGATTGGAATGGCATGTTCAGGTACAAGTCCTACACAACAATACAATGAATAGAGCGTTTTCACTCACGTCACAAGGCAGCCATATTGGTGTACCAAAAAATAGAAACTTTCTGCACAGTTTTTGTATGAAAATAGAGTTCAATTCCAGGAGAATAGAACATGTATTGCTTTGCTACACCAAGATGGCCGCTGTGACGTCACGTGAAAACGCTCTATGTGAAACCTTAAATGGACAAAAAGTTTCGATAAAGTATGAATGATAGTTTTTAAACCGCTAAAAAGTATTTCAAATGATTTGTAAAACCGAGGTGGCACTTTTCCTCTTGAAATTATGGATTTTCAG